AAACACTTCAATTATTCAGCGAGAGCACTTTAATGCTGCACAGATATGACGCAATGTTGTAATGGCACTCGAGGATTTCCTCCGTGAATGGCACATGCTCTTAAAGTAACAAGTATACTGGTTTATCATTTTCACACCAATTTCCATGGTAGCAGAACATTTAATGTAATACACAAACTTGAAAATTGCTATCATTTTCTTCTTTTGTAGCACACTCATTAAAAGAGATGCTTTGTTGGAAGAGAAGACTCTTATAGCTTTGGAAATCATTAACTGCACCTCTTTGCCCTCTTTCTCAGAAAAAATGCTTTTCATAGTTTCCTCCAGGCCCCAATTTAGGTATGGTTTTAGTAACAAAGGAGACTATAGATCCAAAAAATATTCCCAAAAACCAAGTGAACGCTTGCCATCAGATACATATAAGCCCCCCCCCCCTCCCTGTATATTGGACTTATTGACATGCAAAGGTTCTTGCTCTTCAAAGACAATAATCCTGAAACCACAAGCTCTAGGGAATTCCATTTAAGTTAATGTCAGACTAAATAGTTTGAGGACCCTAGTCCAAGGCTGCAGTACTAAACATAATAACTGACAAGGAAGTTTGCTTTGAACATTACACATTTCAACGGAGAGCAGAAAAAGACACCATCAATCACTGTTTCCAAACATGTCTTTACTCATCAGAAAGGTCATAGTATGTGATCTGTCTTATGGGTTTTAAGATCGAGTCTTTGTCTTCACACACACACACTGCAATGGAGCAAAGGCATAAAGTTTTATCAAAAGCATCTGAGAACATGGTTCCAAGTTAATCAATGTATGATAAAAACTTAGGACTTCATCAGACAAGCAGGGGGAACACGAGGGAAAGTGAAGGGAACTGTCTGACCCTATTCCCTAATGTTTTATCCCATCTCGTGGAATGGCCAGTCATCCCATGTCCTTTCTGCACCTTTCCCTGTCTTCCCACTTTCTCCAGTTTGGAATCAGGTAATACTCAACTCCTGAAGATAGTCTTCGGGCTCTGTTTCCATCCATTTAGGAAATGGAGCTCCACAGAGTCCCATCAGAAGTGCCCTTATGTCATGTGATGGCCCCAGGGGGCTCCTGGGGGGCTCTGTTTCCTAAACACATAGAAATGGAGCCCGAAGACTGTCTGATGGAGTCCTTATAGTCATCTGTTGCCTTCTGAAATCTGCCCCCTTTTTCTGTTTTAGACCTGAGTCTTTTCATCTACGGGATGAAGGAACTTTGACCTTCTCAAAGTCCTGAACGAACAAGTACTGCTGAATTCTAAAACTTGCAAATAAGAGGATTATAAGTGGATACCAACAGTTCTCTCACTGCAATGTCACAAAACCTTGACTTTAGCCTGGATCTGCAGTAAACAGGTTAATGAGGATGATGAGATTATAGAAATAGTCATAGACTACCGCTTATGACCCAATCACCTGAGGATAAAGTGGAAAACAGGAAGGTCAAATTACGTCTCAATGTGACCCTTTGTTGGGTAACCATTCCGCAAGTTTCATTACCAGTTGTAAATTTGAGGGGAAGCTACTTAACTTTGTAATATGATTTGAAGACAATCTTTCAATGGGTTTGCTCATTATCCTATCAGGCTGCCAGAATGCTATCAAACATTTAACTATCCCTTCAAATCACAGGACAGGTTCAAATTTTCTAACACCTTCCTCCTTTCACAGGCAGCAGTTTACATTTTTCAGGTGTTCTCCAAAAATGCCACCTTCCCAGAAAACAGAGCGTTGTCTTTCCCAGAAACTGAAGGCGTATTCGTTAAACTGATATAGAGCCAATGTAAATAGATAAAGACATGTCTTCACCCTTTTCTTTTGCAGAATAGATATCAAGAAGAAGATGGGCAACTCTGTTTTCTGCTGCTACAGTGATGAGCACACAAATCAACAAATTTAAATTAGCAGAAAAAATATTAGAAAGAAATTATTTACTGTTAGGGCTGTTCAGCAGTGAAATGGATTGTCTTGAATTGTAATTGAGGTCTTTAAAAAGTAGCTGGATGTGCATCTTTCAGGAATGCTTTAGTTCAGTGGTTCTCAACCTGTGGATCCCCAGATTTTTGGCCTTCAACTCCCAGAAATCCTAACAACTGATAAACTGGCTGGGATTTCTGGGAGTTGTAGGCCAAAACATCTGGGGACCCACAGGTTGAGAATCACTGCTTTAGTTGGATATTCCTGCATGGTAGGAGACTGAACTTGATGGTTCTTGCAGTCCCAACAAACTCTATGATTTTGTAGCTGGGATTTTACATTTTGGAGAAGCAACTACATGAAAGGGGTCATAACAGACACATTAAATATATCATTGTGATGACAGTGTACATACATACTAGGTCATTTCAGCAGTGGAACTCTCTGCCTCAGAGTGTGTTAGAAGCTCCTTCTTTGAAGGCTTTTAAACCGAGTCTGGATGGCAATCTGTCAGGGGTACTTTGTGCTTTTCCTGCATGGCAGAGAGTTGGACTGGATAGCCCATGTGGTCTCTTCCAACTCCATTTTCTATTATTTCCCTCTGAAAGCACTATAGGGGTTGTTGTTGTTGTTCATTCGTTCAGTCATCTCCGACTCTTCGTGACCTCATGGACCAGCCCACGCCAGAGCTCCCTGTGCATGAATTATAGTTTATTGTAAACTGGTTTGAGGATAATCTGACTGAAAGGTGGCATGCACAAATTCCAAAGAAACAAATAAATACACAACACAATCATTCAGATCCATCCGTTGAAACCAGTTGCACTTGTAAGAACTTATTTATGCATCCCATGGTGAACTTGTGAAATTCTTGGCCACAAACTACGGCAATGGCTGCAGAAAGAAAGGAAGCAGCAGAAATTGCAAAAAACAAAAAAGTGTGGCGGCAATAATAAAACTTATGCAATGCCCTGCAGATAGAAAGTGGTCAAAACAAGTGCAGAGGAATCCATGATTCTGTTTGGTTTTGAAAACTTGGGCAGCATGTGTGATACAAAAAAAAAGAAAAAGAAACCAAGAAACAGAACTTGGAAATTTGGGTTTTCTGGATTACAAATCACAGAATCACACACTTTTCCGTGTTTGGACTGATAATGCATACTTTGTGCAAAAACAGCATCAGCAGCATGAAGTAAGATTTTTTATTTATTTTGAGGGGTAGGGGTAGGAAGTTCAGAGAGGATGCATTGCATTGTTCTCTCCTGTTTGGTGTGAATATATCCTTTTTTCCCCTTAGAGTCTTCCCATAACTGGCATCTTTTGTTTATGTAATTAAAGCCCAATTCTATTTATGTTTATTCAGAAATATGTCATACTGAGCTAAATAAACACCTTTACTGATGCTACTGACCATGGCAAATAAAACACAAGAAAAGGGGGGGCCATTCTGGAAATTCAGTTTTGATATAATGATTATGATGACCAAGATCAGTGTCTCTCAGGGAAGGTGAAATTATGCTGGAGATGTCTGGGAGAAGTACCACCATAGAATTACTTGGAGAATGTACTAAATTTCTAGGGAGACTGTTGCCGTCAGTGCAGGTAAGTGAAACCACATCTAATCTGTATTGGTAGAATTCAAATAAGCAAAGAGAGCCACTGGTGGTGCAGCGAGTTAAACCGCTGAGTTGCTGAATGCTGACTGAAAGGTCGGTGGTTTGAATCCAGGGAGCAGGGTGAGCTCCTGCTGTTAGACCCAGCTTCTGCCAACCCAGCAGTTTCAAAACATGCAAATGTGAGTAGATCAATAGGTACAGCTTCTGTGGGAAGGTAACAGGGGTCCATGCAGTCATGCTGGCCACATGACCTTGGAGGTGCCTATGGACAATGCCGGCTCTTTGGCCTAGAAATGAAGATGAGCACCACCCCACAGAATCGGACACAACTAGACTTAATATCAGGGGAAAACCTTTAAAAAATGAAATGCAAAGATACAGAATTGGGGACGCCTGGCTTGAGAGCAGTATGTGTGAAAATGATCTTGGAGTCCTCATGGACAACAAGTTAAACATGAGCCAATAATGTGATGCGGTGACAAAAAAAGCCAATGGGATTTTGGCCTGCATCAATAGGAGCATAGTGTCTAGATCTAGGGAAGTAATGCTACTCCTCTATTCTGCCTTGGTCCGACCACACCTGGAATACTGTGTCCAATTCTGGACACCACAATTGAAGAGAGATATTGACAAGATGGAATGTGTCCAGAGGAGGGTGAATAAAATGATCAAGGGTCTGGAGAACAAGCCCTATGAGGAGTGGCTTAAAGAGAAGGCTGAGAGGAGACATGATAGCCATGTATAAACGTGTGAGAGGAAGTCACAGGGAGGAGGGAGTGAGCTTGTTTTCTGCTGCCCTGGAGACTAGGACGTGGAACAACGGCTGCAAACTACAAGAAAGGAGATGCCATCTGAACATTAGGAAGCCGTTCAGCAATGGAACTCTCTGCCCCGGAGTGTGGTGGAGGCTCCTTCTTTGGAAGCTTTTAAACAGAGGCTGTATGACCATCTGCCAGGGGTGCTTTGAATGCAATTTTCCTGCTTCTTGGCGGGGGGGGGGGTTGGACTGGATGGCCCACAAGGTCTCTTCCAGCTCTAAGTCGGACACAACCAGACTTAATGTTAAGGGGAGACCTTTACCTTGACTATTTTAACTATTGCAACAGACCTTGGGCTAGGAGGAGAGATGTGGTAACAAATGAAATGTATTGTTGTTGTTGTTCATATTGTTTGTTGTTGTTGTTGTTGTTGGCGAGGATGATGACGTCATTGAAGCACATCGCTCCCTTGTCTCAGGGGTCTCTTCTGCAACTCCGCTCGGGCTTGTCAAGGCTTCCGGGCGCATGCGCGGGAGAGGCGAGGGGGCCCTCCTTTGTAGCGCGCGAGCCCCCCGCCCCTTCCTGACCGAGGGGAGGGGGAGGGAAGCAGAGAGGGAGGAGGAGGAGGAGTGGGAGGAACCACCTGCTGCGGATGGGAAAGGGGGGCGCTCCTTTATAAGGCGCGCGGGCGTGCAGTGGTGGTGTTGCCGGCGGCTCTGGGAACTTTGCTTTGCGTTGGGTTGTGAGACTTGGAGCAGCAGCAGCAGCAATAGGCGCGCGCCAGCCATGGACGTAAGTGGCTCCAGGGAGGGAAAGAGGGAAGGATGCACGGGTGGGAAAGGCGCTCGGCTTGGGAGCGGGGGGGGGGGGGGGGGGGGGGGGGGAGTTTGATCTCTCCCATCAAAAGGGGTGGCACTCACTCGCCATGTGCCCCAGTTGGTGGGCTCGGGAAAGCACCTGCTTTGGTGCAAACCGGAGTCGGAGCCCTTTTTCCCCATTCGTCTGCACTGTAGGACGGATAGTAGAACCTCTTTAACTTTCTTGGGATCATGGAAGTTGTGCAAGCTCTTCCACCTTCTCTGCCAAAGAAAAAAGTGCGCTAAACTATCGCAGGACCTCACAACCTCTGAGGATGCTTGCCACAGATGCAGGCGAAACGTCAGGCGAGAATGCTTCTCGAACCTGGCCCTACAGCCCGAAAAACCTACAACAACTCTATCGCAGGACTCCAGAGCATTGAAGTTAGGTCAAACTGAATCCATTCTATATTTCAGAATAGATGCAGCCCAAGAATCAAAGCGCATCTCGAAACTGGGAGGAAAAGGAGAGCGGTTTTGAGTTGCGTTGCCTCCACCGAGAGCCTGCCTCCGTTTACACACACCACCGGCTTCCCTCCCTTGCAGGAAAGTCTCCCAAACTTTGGAGTTTGCGTTGAGTTTTCCGGGCTACAGAGCCATGCTCTAGAAGCATTCTCTCCTGACGTTTCGCCTACATCTATGGCAGGCATGAGATGTGAGGTCTGATGGAAACTAGGCAAGTGGGGTTTATATATCTGTGGAAGGTCCAGGGTGGGAGAGAGAACTCTTGTCAGCATGAGGATATGCTGCAATTGATCACCTTTATTAGCTTTGAATGGCCTTGCATAGCTAATCAAGGTGATCAATTGCAGCATTCACATTTGCCTCCAACAGACAAGAGTTCTGAGTAGTTGTAGGTTTTTCAGACTGTACGTCCATGTTCTAGAAGCATTCTTTCCTGACGTTTCGCCCACATCTGTGGCAGGCATCCTAAGAAGTTGCAAGGTCTGTTGGAAACTAGGCAAGTGGGGTTTTTATATATCTGTGTGTTCAGGGTGGGAGAAAGAACTCTTGCCTTTTGGAGGCAATGCTGCAATTGATCACCATTATTAGCTTTGAATAGCCTTGCATAGCTAATCAAGGTGATTAATTGCAGCATTCACACTTGCCTCCAACAGTCAAGAGTTCTGGGTAGTTGTAGGTTTTTCAGGCTGTATGGCCATGGTTCAGAAGCATTCTCTCCTGACGTTTCACCTGCATCTATGGAAGGCATCCAGAGAGGTTGTGAGAAAATTGAATACACACAGACCTCACATGACCTCTGGCCATGAAAGCCTTTGACAATACATTAGCCAAGAGTTCTTTCTCCCACCTCTGAGGATGCCTGCCATAGATATAGGCAAAACATCAGGAGATAATGCTTCTTGAACATGGCCAGATAGCCTGGAAAACTCACAGCAGCCCAGTGATACCAACCATGAAATCCTTCAACATGTGAAGGTGATACCAACCATGAAATCATCTCCCAAACTTTGCTCTCTCTTGTTAAACTTGCGCAGGACAGGAGCATGGCTTTGAGGGCTGGATCTCCACTGCCCTATCCCCCAGGACCGTATCCCAGGTTATCATCTGGCAGTGTAGACTCCTATAATCAAAGCAGATCCTGGGGTGTAGGGCAGTGTAGACCAGGCCATGGAGGGCTGGAGGCGCCTCTTCCCTGGCGCCAGGCGGGCATCTCTCTCGGGTCAGGCCGGGTCAGCTGGGTGCATCTACACACTGTGTGATGAATGCAGTGCAACCTCACTTTAACTCACTGCCTTGGCTCATTGTTATGGGGTCATAGGATCCAGTCTTTGCAGAGGCACCATCAGAGAAGGCTCAAAATCTTGCAAAACAACCCATAGCATTGAGTTTTGGCAGTTAGATTAGTGTGGAGCTGCATTTGCACCACTCTGGGAGTGCTGTACAAAAGCCCAGCATGAATCTCGCATAATTTTTTGAAAGTGCTTTGCCCGCCCCAAGAGTCTGTTATTGGGCGGGGTAGAAATCAGAAACCTGCATGGCTTTGAGGGGTGGAAACTTTGGAACTGATTTGTTGACATATTGGTTGTGGCTTCTGTTAGGGCTGAAAGTTGTTTATGGGATGTACTTTTTAAATGGAGCCCTCGGTAGCAAAGCAGATTAAACCACTGAGCTGCTGAACTTGCTGACCAAAAGGTTGGTGGTTCGAATCCAGGGAACAGTGTGAGCTCCCGCTGTTAGGCCCAGCTTCTGCCAACCTAGCAGTTCAAAAACATGCAAATGTGAGTAGATCAATAGGTACCGCTTCAGCGGGAAGGTAACAGGGCTCCGTGCAGTAATGCCATCCACCAAAAAAAAATGTAACCCTTTGCCTTGATTGTGATCATAAAAAAATTAAGCAGGGGGAAATTTGTGAAGATCTCTTCCCTTTTTGCCACAATCTTTCAGTACTTTGCGCAGAAGCAGAAATCCATCCAAATTGTGTAGAACACTCTGAATGAAGTCAGTGGAAGAAGTACAAGGCAACTGACTTGCTGCTCAACTTCACGGGCTCCTAGGATGTATCTACATTGTAGAACTAGTGCAGTTTGACACCACTTTGACTGCCAGGGTTCAGTACTGTGGAATCATGGGAGTTGTAGTTTTACAAGTCTTTTAGCCTTCTCTGGTACCTCGCAAACTATAACTCCTAGTATTCCCTAGCATCAAGCCAGGGAAGTTCAAGTGGCATCAAACTGTATTCATTTGACAGTGTAGATGCAAGAATGCAAACTTGCTACTTGAAATATAGTGCCTTGTGGGGTGAGCTCCAACTGTTAGCCCCAGCTTCTGCCAATTTAGCAGTTCAAAAACATGCAAATGTGAGTAGATAAATTGGTACCGCTTCAGAAGGTAACGGCACTCAATGTAGTCATGCTAGCCACATGACTTTGGAGACGACTATGGTCAACGCCAGCTCTTCAGCTTAGAAATGGAGATGAGCACCACCCCCCAGAGTCAGACACAACTAGACTTAATCTCAAGGGGAAACTTTTACCTTTACCTTTCTCACAAGGGGGTCAAAAACCAGTGGCCTAATCTGATGGAGATTTGTAGTTTAGGCCACTGTGTACCTTTGGATGGGGTAGGTAAAGCAAGAAAACAATTGGGGATAGGAGCAAGCCTTGCTCACATCCCACGGGGGAAAAAATCTTTTGTCCCTATTTTGCTGGCAGACTTGGGATTCCTGAATCCTCCCTCTGATAAGTACCTCATAGCCTCCTGCTTCTGAGTTTCCCCATCAGATTTCCCTAGTTTGATTCACAAGGGCACCTCACCCTGCTCTGGTTTTGTTTTGAAGTTCTGTGGCCCAAAACTACATTTCCCCCTTTGAAATAGGTTGCCAAGACAATGTGGAACAGTGCAACGTTTTTTGCAAGGGCTGTCCCCAGGGCGTTAACTGCCTTCTGTGCCTTTCTTGGCCACCCAAACATTCAAAACCGTTGGTAGTTTCCTGAGATGGCACTTCTCTTTTTCTTTCCCTCTCTCTCATCTTTCTCTTCTGATGACATAATTGAAGTCTCCAATCCTCTAATGCAGAGTTTTCTAACAAAAAAGTGCCATCTCCATCCAAACAGTTCATTTTCTCTTAAAATCTGAAGACTAGAATTGCATCAACACTGAAGAACGAATGCAGTTTGATACCACTTTAACTACCATGGCTCAATACTAGTTTGGTGAGGCAGGATTCCATAGCATTGAGCCAAGGCAATTCAAGTAGTGTCAAACTGCCCCTCTGTGGTTCTGTAGCTTCCTTGATTGCAGTGAAGTCTTCCTCTTTTCCTCCAACTCATCACTCTATAAAACATTACTATCCTTTCTATTTAGTCATGTTGTCTCATGGTATGGCCAAAATGCAATAGCCTCAGTATGACTATTTCTGTTTCTGAGTCCAGACTTTATTTGTTCTCAGACCCATTTTTTGGCTTTTGAGCAGTCCATGGTATCCAAACAGTTTTCCTCCAGTACTTGCATTTCAAATGACTTGATATTCTTCTTGCCCACTTTCATACCCTTACAGAGAAATAGAAAATACTAAGACATGGACAATCCTGAAACCAGTCAAATGGAATTCTATGCACTCAGCTATGGTTAAGAGGCTAGTATTTAAACACAAGGTTTTCTTTACATCTGTAAGTGTTGCTTTGTCATTCTGTCTCTGAGCCCTTCCACACAGCCCTATATCCCAGAATATCAAGGCAGAAAATCCCACATTATCTGAGTATAGACTCAAGTAACCCAGTTCAAAACAGATATTGTGATATTTTCTGCTTGGATATTCTGGGATATAAGGCTGTGTGGAAGGACCCCCCAAGGGATAACTGGGCAGAATAGGAAAGTGGCACTTCTTGGACTCCCAACTCAGAATTTCCCAGGTACCATGGCCATTCGACCAGAAATGCCATATAAAATCTAGATTATCTCCTTTGAACTGGATTGTATGGCTGTGTAGACTCAGATAATCCAGTTCAAAGCAGATAATGTGGATTATCTGATTTGATAATCTGGATTGTATGGCAGTGCAGAAGGGGCCAGAGAGTGAGGTGGGAAAGCAGGAGGAAGGGCCAGCTCTTGGAGCTCCCAGCAGCCACCAAACTGCTGCTGAGCCTGAGAGCAATAGCTTCCTATCATAACAGTTCATAATTTTGGTTCCAAAATCTGCCCTTTACTTTTGCATGACATCAAATTATACATAAATGTATTCAGTAGTTTGTAGACATCTAGGAAAGAATCAGTGTATTTATTTTCTGCTATAAAAGCTGGGACTTTCCTTTCACTACCATGTTCTAACTGGTTTTCTTCTGTCATTCCACTACAGCTGCCTCCTGGAATCTTTATTTTCATGTCCGAAAACAGCACTGATGAACCAGGCTCTGGTGATGATGGGGACTACCAAGAGGTGTGTTTGCAGCAAGAAAATGCCGATTTCAACCGTATCTTCTTGCCCACCATCTTCTCCATCATCTTCCTGACAGGAATCATTGGCAATGGCTTGGTTATTGTGGTCATGGGCTATCAAAAGAAGCTGAGGAGCATGACCGACAAATATAGGCTTCACCTCTCAGTGGCCGACCTCCTCTTTGTCATCACGTTGCCCTTCTGGTCTGTGGATGCCGTCATCAGCTGGTACTTTGGGAATTTCCTGTGCAAAGCGGTCCACTTCATTTACACGGTCAACCTGTACAGCAGTGTCCTCATTTTGGCCTTCATAAGCTTAGACCGGTACCTGGCCATCGTCCATGCTACCAACAGCCAGAGACCCAGGAAGTTGTTGGCTGAAAGGATTGTCTACGTTGGGGTTTGGCTGCCTGCCCTGCTCTTAACCGTGCCTGATATCATCTTCGCCAGTACTAGCGAGGTTGGCGGGAAATACGTCTGCCAGCGGTTTTACCCTCATGAAACATGGTTGATTTCATTCAGATTTCAGCATATCCTAGTTGGCCTTGTTTTGCCTGGCCTCATAATCCTGACTTGCTACTGCATTATCATTTCCAAGCTGTCCCACTCCAAAGGCCATCAGAAGCGCAAAGCCTTGAAGACCACTGTTATCCTGATTGTTGCCTTCTTTGCCTGCTGGCTGCCCTACCACATTGGCATCAGCATAGACACCTTTGTCCTCCTTGGATTCATCGAGAACGGCTGCACCTTTGAAGCGATTCTGCACAAATGGATCTCCATTACTGAAGCCCTGGCATTTTTCCACTGTTGCCTGAACCCCATACTTTATGCTTTTCTGGGTGCCAAATTCAAGACATCTGCCCAAAATGCTTTGACTTCTGTCAGCAGAGGCTCAAGTCTCAAGATCCTTTCCAAAGGCAAACGAGGAGGACATTCATCTGTTTCGACAGAGTCAGAGTCTTCCAGTTTCCATTCCAGCTAACAACGTCTTGCGTTTCTCTTTCTCCATATTTGTAAAGAATGAGACTCTCTCTATATATAATACACACACATACATACATTCAACCAGATTTTGAAGGGTCATATCCTCCAAGATCATGTATAAATTTATTCCCAATTGGAATATTATATTTGTTTAGTTTTCTCTGGACTTATTTATAAAATATGAAACAAAAGCCTGTACATATTGATTTAAGAATGTCTAGGCAGGACCTGAGAACAAGTGACCCCTTGACCACGTTTTACTTCTTTTCTATCTAGTTTTACAAACTAAATACATGAGCGTATTGATGTGTGTGTGAGTTGTTTGTATATAAAAGAAATATACCTGTTGAAAGAATGTATAATCTTCTGTATTCAGGACTTTCCCAGATAGTATAAGCCCAGATAGCATAAGCGTCATTTTCATCAAGGGGTGTTATGGTAGCCTTCAAAGAGCCATTGAATCCTTGGATAAAGAATCCATGGATACAGAGAGCCAACTAATTTTTTTTGCATAGTGGTCGGTGCTCTTTAGTTTTTATCCAGTTTGAGTCCCCAGATGTTATTTTACAACAGCTCCCATCACTAGAGACTCTGCCATGTGGACTGGGGATAATGGGAATTGTAACCCAACTGAATTTGTGGCTCTGAGATTGGGGAAAAGTTAGAGGACATTTTAAAGTCAGACATTATATCCACAAGCCTTGTCTCTAAACCCAAACCTCACTATTGTGACTAAAAAGAACAAATGACACAGATGTTACTGTGTCAAACTTCCATCAGCTCTAGTCATGTATATCATGAGGAATACAGAAGTTGCAGTCCAACATTTGGAAGGATACATAAAATATCATGGTAGGCCAGATTCAGAGCATGGGCCTTGAGTTTGATATGTGTGGTGTAAGTTGTATTATGCTGGTTTAATTGCATTGTAGACTCTAGGTGCAAATCCACCTTCTAGTAAAAGGCAGTGTCAAAAGGCATACTACTGAAGCCAGCTAAATTACATCCAGTGGCACTTACAACCAAAGTTTGTCTGTCAGTTGCTTTTTTGTGGGATGTTGTACATCGGTTTTCAAATTTCTGCCATTGTAAAGATGTAAATAAAAATTTGCGGAAAAGAAAACTACCTGGAATTGTGTTTTCATGTTTAGCTTCCTACTAATTTCTTTTATGTACCTTCTTTTAGCTTTTGGTTGTTTATGAATATTCTTTTTTCTGGGCCATTGTGGAAAGAATAAACAAGACAGTGTTTATTTCAAGAAAATGAGTTTTCCAAAGTGTATTAGCAATGAGAAAGAGATACTTTTCATTCTACATAGGCCAGTTGTACAGGATTTAGTTATGCACTTTCCTTGCACTTCACCTGGCTGCAAAATAAAACATCTCATTCATCCAAGAGCCTTGGAAACTAAGAACACAAATAGTACACATTTGGATTATTTGAACGTTTTTGTGTAGCTCCCCCAAGCCGTTCTGATAAAAATATGATTGCTGGTATTAAAATAGCCTATATAATCAACATAATAAATATTTCTTTTCTGAAGGTTAGCCCTTGTTTTCATAGTATGACTAATGAGACAAATGTGATACCACATCTTTTCTTAAAATGGAAATGATTCACTTCATTGTTACTATTTCCCTGTTTACCCTTTCTTTTCATTAGGCCTTCTGTGATTATTTCAGGGAGTATCTATATGGGAAGGGCATTATGCCAGGAAGACAAGAGGAGGGAACTATTCTGAACCAAGAAGTGAGGCAGGGTACCTTGGAAATATATCAAATATATGGAATCCTACGAGGTATATTAAAATGATCATGAATGCCAAGCATTCCCCTCCAGAGCTAGGAGGAGTTATCTTTAGAAAACTACAACTCCCAGGATCCCCTAGCCATCCATGTTTCCATCTCTTGTAGACCATAAACAATCAGTTAAAGGTACTGTTTCTGCTAAGCCTGGAACTTACATTTGTACCACAGCCAGGATTTACAGTAGGTGTCACTGGCACAGCAAAATCCATTTTATCATCCAGCTCAAACTAAATAGAGTGGAAAAGTTGTCTGTATTTGTAATACACCTATGCTCAGGAAAAAAGAAAGGAATCCCTTTAAGCCCCTTAGCTTACACAGTGATCATTTTCTTGCGATGAGGCTTTAAATGGCTTTGGGTGAGTGCACACTCTCCACTGAGCATTTTTGCAGACCCTGGCTAATACGGGAGAGCAACCCATGAGAAAGGCAAACACAGCTCCTTTGAAAGGAAACTTTGCAATTAGGTGAACTATCCAGATTGGTTTTTCCTTCCTTGTTTTTCTAGAACATGGCCCAAGAAACTATAAGAATGAACCAAATAAAATCATAAGAGGTCATCAATATTATACATTATAATTCAAATCAAAAACTTCCAATGTACACATATCTCCAATTCCAAAAGTTGCAGAGATAACAAAGCCACCACAGGCTCAAAGTGGCAAAGGTGCCAAGTGACTGCCTGTCACTCACTGTCCCAAATGAGACAATGAGTTCCAAGCAGTGTACAGCTCAGGACCTGGAGGAGACTGCCAACTGCTTTAGTTTCCAATTCTATGGGTGAGGCATTGGAGTAGAGACTGACATCCTGATGTCAACCTGTCTTCTGGACGGCTTACATCAGTGGTTCCCAACCTTTTTTTTGACCAGGGGCCACTTTGACCAGGGACCACTCTCCAACATCAGTGCCAAAAGGGTTATGAATCAGTTTTTGGTCTACTTTGAGGTGCTCATTCAGAAAATTGCATTGGATAGACCAAATCAGCTCTAGTTTCTGATACAGAACATATGCCATCCAGTAATCCAGTAATTCTGATACAGAACATATGCCATCTGCTCACCCATAGAAAACCATATTTAATAAGCCTCAGCACTATAAGAGGGTTTTGCAAGACCAGTCACTCTCCTTGCAATGGTGTAGTAACAGTGAGCTGTGTACCATATTTTAGTTCTTGCAGACCACTGGTAGTCCATGGACCATATGTTGGGAACCACTGGCTTACATGAATAATTCAGCCCCAAGACCAGCCCCCCTCCACCATAAGTTACTCTCCATGAATTACTTAGTTGCATTACACAAGTGAGAACATGGAAACAAAATTAATGGATAAGGAAGAAAAGTTGGCCTCCGAAAAGAAAAGTCAACCAAGCCTAGTTCACCTCCATCTCTGAGCCCTTTAAGCATCCAAAGAAGATCTCCTACAACTGGCCCTGCCTTTCTTCTGGGGGGAAAATGGGATCCAAAAATAATGCTGTTTCTCTAATCCAGTTCCCTCCTACCCTTTGGGAATCTCAGGCTGGATCTACATTGTCTTATATCCCAGGATCTGGTCCCAGTTTATCTGCTTTCATAGAATCATAGAGTTGGAAGAGACCAGGTGGGCCATCCAGTCCAATCCCCTGCCAAGAAGCAGGAAAATCACATTCAAAGCACCCCTGACAAATGGCCATCCAGCCTCTGTTTAAAAGCTTCCAAAGAAGGAGCCTCCACCACACTCTGTAGCAGAGAGTTCCACTGCTAAACAGTTCTCGCAGTTAGGAAGTTCTTCCTAATGTTCAGGTGGAATCTCCTTTCCTGTAGTTTGAAGCCATTCTTCTGCATCCTATTCTCCAGAGCAGCAGGAAAAAAGCTTGCTCCCTTCTCCCTCTGACTTCCCCTCACATATTTATACATGGATTAATTGAGTCTACACTGCCAGATAAGGGATCAGAACCTAGGATATAGGGCAGTGTAGATCCAGCCTCGGTGGCTTTCCTGAACTGGAGTTTTACAAGTTCTTTCACCTCTTTGCCAAAGTGTGCTGGTGTGTCACCAAACTACAGATGCCAAGATTCCATAGCTTTGAGCCATAGCAATTGAAATAGTGTAAAACTGCATTAATTCTACAGTGTAGATGTATCCAAGTCTTCGAGCATCCCAGAAAGATGTTTTGTTTTCTTATGTTTAAAAGAAAGGCCATTAAAACAATCTATTTGTACATCTCACTCCCTTCTGATGTCATGTAACTTTCAATTAAACTGACTGAGAAGGAGGAGAATATGATGAAAAAGCATGTTATTTCTGCCCTGCATTTCACACAGATTGGGATGAAAAGCATTTTACAAAATTAAAATGATGACAATATTGTTAAAAATATACAAAAACGTCAAAGTTAAAATAGAATTAAACTATCAGAAATATATGCTTAAAATATTCAGAAATTGTGATGTTGTGTTGACTGTTTATGTTTTGTTTTGCACTTGTTGTATTTTGCATGTTACAACTGGAGTGTTCTGTGAGCTGCTCTGAGTCCCTCTGGGAGATGGTGACAGGATCAAAATATATTATTATTATTATTATTATTATTATTATTATTATTTCCAAGTATATGTTAAAAAAGATAAAAGTCAGCTTAAAAGTGGTCTGGACACTTAGTTGTAAACGCCTGTGAGTTCCTCGAACAAAACTTATGCTCTAGTAACCTAGTTGCACCGGAGATTTCATTAGTGGAACTGGTTTAGGGTAGACATTTTACTTTCATTTTATTCAGACTGAGATGCAGTTAGAGTAATACTAAGTCCCTAATTTTTTAAAAAAAGTTCTCCATGCTTATTTCCACTGATACAGACCAAAGTGGCTATCAATTTGCTGCTGCATAGTTCAGGAAATGTTCTCAGAGCTTCTGTGTTAACTTTGGCCTCTCCTTTACAGCTCCTAGCCAACCACCTTTTATTTCTCCAAGGAAACTTAGGCAAGGGAATGTGTTAACAGAACAAAAAAAACAATAGCGTTTTACTAGCAGGGGTTCCTATTATGAAGAAACCACAAGCAGTGTTTGTAAGAGAAACGGCCCAATAATTTTTCAAGCTGGACGTGGGCCAAGGAGAACCTTCCAGATATTTCTGAATCACAACTTCCATCATCCCCAGGCAGCACAGCCGATGATGAGGGTTAATGGGAGTTGCTATCCAACTTCACCCAGAGGACTGTATTTCAACTGCCTCTGTTTAAATCTTATAGGCTTGTATTTGTTAGAAAAGAAAAGCAGTTCCTACCCCAAACGA